GTCTGAACCTCCAAGGCTGACGGAATCCCCATTGATTCCCATTGACAGATGCTACACAGGTTCCCCTTCTTTTCTCTGTTGCTCTGGATTGGGGCTACCTATATGGTCCTGAGACCCCACACTCCCAAGAAGCAAGGGTTTTGCTGCTGCAATATCTCTCCAGCTTCCCAGCCATGCACATACACAAGGGGGATCACCCTCTCCCCATCTCCTTCTGTCATTCCTCTGTGTTCCCTGCTTTCATGATTTCAGATCAGCCACACTTCAACTGTTTTTTTCAAGCTGATTGCTCTGCAGTTTAGCTGAAAGACCAGTCCGGAGTTGGGAGCAAGTGACCAGAGCTTCAACTTACTCTGCAGCCATCTTGGAATTCTCCCAAAATTTTTAGTTTGATGAAGTCCCATTTGTTTATATTTTCTTTTGTTTCCCTTGCTCCAGGAGATATATTAGAAAAAATATTGCTAAGAGAAATATCAGAGAGGTTACTGCCTATGTTTTCCTCTATGAGTTTTATGGTTTTAAGTCTGTAATACATTTTGAGTTTACTCTTACATATGGTGTAAGAAGGTGGTCTAGTTTCATATTTTTGCAACTACCTGTTCAGTTTTCCAAACACCATTTAATGAAGAGACTATCTTTAACCCATTGTATATTCTTGCCATCTTTGCCATTGATTAATTGATCATAAAGGCATGGATTTATTACTGGGCTCTCTATTTTGTTCCATTAATCTCTGTATCTGTTTTTATGTTAGTACCATGCTGTTTTTATTACTATTGCCTTGTGGTATAGTTTATTAGGTAGTGTGATGCCTGTAACTTTATTCTTCTTTCTCATGATTGTTTTGGCTATAAGTGGTCTTTTCTGGTTCCATATAATTTATTTTTGTTTATTTGTTCTAGCTCTGTGAAAAACATCATTGGTAATTTAACATGGATTGCCTTGAATCTATAGATTGCTTTGGGGAGTGTGGGCATTTTAAATTAATTAATTAATTAACTAATTAATTTTATTTAATCCTCACCTGAGGATATGCTTTACTCATTTGAGAGAGAAACATTGATGTATGAAAGAATCATCCATCAATTGTCTCCCATATGTGCCCCCATCAGGAATCAAACTCTCAAAGGTTGCCTTGGAAATTCAGCAACCATTTAGAAAATGGAAACCCACCCTAACCAACTGTGCCATACCAGCCAGGGTGGGGAGTACGGACATTTTAACAAAGTTAATTCTTCCTATGCATGAGCACAGTATATGTTACCATTTATCTGTAGCTTCTTCAGTTTCTTCCTTCAATGTCTTATAATTTTTCGAGTATAGGTCTGTTACCACTGTGTTTATATTCAGAGTGTGTTTTACAAATATACGTAATATTTGATTTCATGCCATTTATCTTTTATAACTTTGGAAGGGTTATTTATTAAATAGCGAATGTTATCCTTAGAAAGGAAGTGAACGGTTATCGGGAACCATTACGAGGACATCAGTTACCTCAGGAGGACCAGGGATGGGGACATGATTGTCCTGGAGCAAAAGGAGGGCCCAAGCCTGCTGGCATGTTCTCCATCTTCATCTGAGTGGTTGTTAGCAGGATGTCAACATTGCACAAGCACAGGGGCATGCAGCACCCTGCAGTCGCGCTAATGGTGCCCCCTGGAATCAGGCAGGTACAGTCAACATGGCCACCCTGGCAGCACAGGCGGGTCGGCCGGACCCGGACCCGGCAAACGCCCGGGGAGAGTCTGTGCACCTCAGTCAGCTGAATGGCAGCCTGTAACCTGAACCACCTGTAACCTGAACCACCTGTAACCTTAACCACCCCTCCACATTACCAGGCAAGGTGACATATCAGCCAATTCCAGGAATTAGGACATGGACATCTTTGGGCACCACTGCCTGCCCAGCACTCTCAGCTCCCTATCCAGCGCTCACCTCCCACTACATCCCCTGTGTGTGCCAATCCTCCCAGAGAGTCCGGAAAGAGCAGTTGGCTGGTCCTGGTGGTGCTGCAGATGATGGTGGTGAGGGATGAGGGTGGGGAAGGGGGGGTCTGCCCAGGAACTAGGCCAGCAGCAGAAGGAGGCAGGCTGGGAACTAGGGCTCTCCAGGCCAGCCACCACTGCCTCCCAGCCTGGAGAGCAGGTCGGTTTTCTTGGGGCCCCGATGTGTTTCCATAATCTATGCCCCAGTATAGGCCGCTTCCCCCCCTCCCCCAACCCCACCCCCTCCAGAACTGGAAGGGGCCTGCGATGTGCAAGTTTACAGCAGCATTATTGTGCTGCGGTTGGTCTGAAAATGAAAGAGGGAGGTTGTGTGCTCAGAGGAGGGGAGGGAGGCTGGCAAAGCTAGCCACCGCGGGTTGTGTTCCTGCCTCCCACGACCCCTTCAATGCACTTCTCCCCTTCCTCTCCCTGGCGACGAGGGCCCCGGGGCTCCCGGGCAGTGCTGGTGCTGGACTAGCCGCCATCACAACCCGCCCCCATGTATGTCTATGTGGGCAGAAAGCCCAGCTGGAAAATCCCTTCCAAACTTTGTCACTCAGACAGCATGTCACCCCGCCGAGAAATAACCACTGGGTCAGGATCACAGCCATAGCCTAAGCAACCAAGCCCACCTTCTCCAGAGAGGGGTTTGAAGTGGAAGGATGAAGTCCCACGAACGTTCTTTTCTGGCTCTGAGGGCTGTGGCTGACCCATCCCATGTGTGATGGTCAGTCCACCTGAGCTCATGCCACAGGGCCCGGAACGGAGACAGGGTGAGAACATGGAGGAAGAAGGGTGGAACCGAGTCTGCCCTATTTCCCAGGCGCCATCACTCTTTACTTCCCATCTTCACTGCGCCCATCCTGCCCATGCCCCGGTTAGCTACTGTAGGGGCAGTCTCTACGTGAGCTCCCTGACCCTAGGATGCAGCCTGTCCGGGCCTGTGCTCTGCATTCTCACTCCATCCACGCACCTTTGTCAGACACCATAGGATCACAGAGTAAGATCCAGAGCCACCTCCAGCAACTCCCACATTTGGGGTGTCTGGACGCCCTGCCTTGGGGTTGGTGACTTCCGCATCATTCCCAGCCCCGCAAACCCCTCCCCCATCCCCCACCCAATGTGTCAGGAATTTAACAATGCCCCTTGAAAAAAGTAGATCCCACCCTTGCTTTGGCTCACTCAGTCCCACAGTCTCTACTACTACCTTTACTGCCTGAACCACATCAAGGGACATTATCCCCGGTTAATTTTATTCCAAACCAGATCCCCTTCTCGGACCTCGAATGTTCTATCCACCATTGCCCCGCCGTGTGTGTGTGTGTGTGTGTGTGTGTGTGTGTGTGTGTGTGTTAACACCAGTCTCTGGGGGAATGGAGTCTGGCAGAACCAACCCTCAACTCACTCAAACACAAGTCTGTGTCCCTCTGAGTCCCAGGCCCGCACAGCCCTGCCAGGTCCTGGCTCAGGGAAGCAACCGGACCCCAGCCCTCAGTGAAGGGGAAAGGGAGCACAGAGTGAGACTCAACCTTGTGTGACCTGCCGAGGCAGTGGGGGAGACTGCGGGGGGGCGCAGAACTGCCACTTCCAGGAGGACCTGTGTCTCGGGCTGGTTAAATATAGTATTTGAAGGGGACCACGTACCACATTGAGACTTATCAACCACCCTCGCCATAGAAACCAGCGGGAGGAGGGGCATTAGCGGGCTAGGGCAGGCAGGGTGTGAACCCTAAGCTAGGTAGTTTCCTCAGGTTGGCCCGCAGCCCCCACAACAGACTCATTCCCTGTCCTTCAGGCTGGAGTCTAACCCTCGCTCTTCCTCTGTATTCCTGTACCTTCCCCTGTGATCCGCAACTCCCTGGGCTGTGGCTTCTGCCTCCACCTCTCTACTGAAACCCAGGAGGGAGAACTGAGCGGAGCGTCAAAGGTGAGAGCTAAAGAGGGCTGTAGGCCGACCCCCGGGTTGCTGGCTGAGTTGTCCATGACTGGTCCTGGGAAGGGGGAAGATGAGCTCCAGTGTGCTCTTTATACCCGCTGGAGTAGAGGTGCAGGGAAGGCCACCGAAGGAAAGCCATGGGGAGATCAAGCGTGTTCGGACAGCAAAGCAGGGTAGATGGGAGGAGACCCAATGACTGTGGGAAAGAGGGACTGAGCTCTGGAAGGGGGTCCTGAGTTCCTGCTGAAGGGGAGGGGAAATGGGCGATGCATGGCATGAGACCCCAAACGCGGAGGAGTTTCGAACACCAAGAGGGCCTGCAGGGGAAAGGGGAGAGAAGCTAATGTGGCCAGGCAGAGCCAGGCAGAGCCCAGACCCGGGGCGACCTGGTCGTCTGGCTGCAAGGCTCCTATCAGAGGCTGGCCCAGACTCCCCGCAGGCAGAAGGCCCACCACAGAATGCTAGAGGTATTGTTCTGGAAAAAGCGCTGAGATGGAGCAGCTCCAAGCTCTCCCCGCCCTAATTCCCTCTCCCACCTGTCCCCCCGCCCCCCGCCCCCCCAAGAGAGACCACAGAGGTTTTTTGTTTTTTTAAAACAAACAGGCTTTTATTGAGGGGAGAGAGAGAGAGAGAGAGAGAGAGAGAGAGAGAGAGAGAGAGAGAGAGAAACATGGACATGAGAGAGAAACATCAATTGGCTGCGAGCCCACAACCTGGACACGTGCCCTGACCCGGAATCGAACCTGTGACCTGCTGGTGCACGGGACAATGCTCAACCAGCCAACTGAGCCAGATCGGCCAGGGTGAGACCACAGAATTTGAGAGGGACCTTAATTTGAAACTGCTGAGAAATGGGGTGGGGAGGAGGCAAAAGGAGGGGGAGAGGAAGCCTCGGCTGATGTGGAACAGGAGGGAACCAGCTTGGCCGCAGCTCCCGGGCTGCTGCTCTTGCACCAAGACGCTGGGCTCCACCTGTCCAACAGAGCAGAGTCGGGGAGGAGCCTCAAGCCAGGGCCAGCCCACAGCCCTCCTCAACAGCCGCGGCTGTGGGAAGGGGTATGGTGTGTGTAACACTCACATCAAAGGTTCCGGAACTTGTCAGCCAGGGACTGCATGGCCGCTGCAACAGAGAGAGGCATAAGCAGGCACTCCAGATGGAGGGATAGAGAAGCCCGACCCCCTGTCCCTGTGGGGAACCGCCTAGCCCTGCAACCTGAAACCCCCTCCAGTCCCTACCCAAGGAGCCCTGGGCCTGACTCAGTCACTCACCACTTGAATTAAGTGTGGAAATGTTTTCCAAACAGGACAAAGTGTGCCAGCACGCAAGCTTTGGGGCATATCAGAACCATTCAGAGTTTGTCAAACAAACAAGACCCACAGAAGCCATAGCAAGCAGCAGTTGAAGGGAGGATCAATGAGGCATCTCTAGACGTCCGTCCTGAGAGAAGATCTCTAGGACCGGTTCTCCTTGGCAAAGTGTGCTTGTAGCTCCGACCACACTTTCTTTCCTCTTGGTCCACACACCTAGCTGTACGTGCACAGTAGGCTCCAGGGCCAGGCGTGCCGAGTTCTCCTCCCCACAGGAATGTTGGGCCCTGTGAGGCCGCCTGTACCTGCAGCCTGCCCCAGCCCCATGCTAAGGCACTGAAGTCTGGCCCTGCCCCTGCCCCTGCCCCAGCCAGAGGTTCCTCCTACCTAGTTGCTGTCTAAGGTCGTATATTTGTCTCTGCAGCTCCGGGCACTAGGCCAGCAGACACCAGAGAAAGAGAAATGATTAGTATACTCAGGCCTCCTCTCCCCTCGACGACACCCCCGCCCCCACCACCTGGGCTAGCCCCGCATGGGCTCCTCAGTGGGAAAAGGAGGTGCATGCCCTCCTTGAGGTGTGGGATGGCGGCAGCGGTGTGGGGAGAGGGGGCAGACACGGGTCGGTTTAATCTGGACACACATCCCACAGTCTAGCTCAGAAATGCATTTCTAGGAGCCAGAGGAAGCATTACCCGAGGACAACCCTCTGCTCCAGGTGGTTGCTGCTGCCTTTCCGGTGCTGGGGGATATCCAAGTGGTGCCTGGTCTCCTGAGAGGGAAAGGACACAAAATCCAGCTTCCAAAGCTCCCAGGGAGGTGGGAAGGGCTTAGCAGGGTCTCACGTGAGGCAGCACCCCCTCTGCTGGCAGCAAGTTGCCCCTGCTCTGCCCAGCAGCTCCACCCTTCTCTCCGGGCCTGCCTTGCCTGTTCCCCAGGGGCAGCCCACCCACGGCTGTGGTCCCCAACACTGTGTGTGGCTCTGGGTTGGATGCTGGCAGAGCTGCAGGCAAAACCAGCCCCTGGGACGAGCCCAGTGGCCCAACACGAACTATCGGAAAAGGCCCTGTTCCGCTGAAACTCTGTGTCCGGAGTGGCAGTTTGGGGCACAGCCACGAGAATCACCCCTGTGCACAAACCCCATGCAGAGGATGAAGTGCCTTGAGCCCTGCCCTGTCCAGACACCCTATTTCCTGTGGGAGAGGCTGTCTGGGCAGGCAGGGAGGCAGGGAGCAGGGCTGAGCCCCTGGTGGAGCCAGAGCAGGAGGGTTCCCTCCTCAGCCTCTCTCCCGGCCGCTCCCAGCAGACCCACGGGACTCACTGGAGGCTGTGGGCCCTCTGGGCAGGACTTCTCCCTGGCTCAGGGCCCAGGGCTGTGCTTGTCCTGGAGCCCCGGCGGCTCTGCTGTAGCCGTCACCGCTGTTGCATTCTCGGCAGGATGGCCCTGGACTGTGTGTCTGAGGCCGAAATAAAAATTTCTCACTCATTTGGACTCGGGATGCGTGTGTGTGTGTGTGTGTGTGTGTGTGTGTGTGTGTGTGTAGGGGCTGGGGTGAGGCAGGGAATAGGGAAGGCAGTTCTGAGGCGGACCACATCAGCACCTTCGCCCTCAGTCAGCCCTGGTCAGGAGGCCAGGCTGAGCTAGACACAACAGTGGGGTGCTGAGACAGCCCACGGCCCCCTGCAAGGACGGCTCGGGGAGCAGCTAGCAAGTAGGAGTCAGGGAGCCGATGGTTCTAAACACTGAAGCTTTGGGGCCCAAAGTCTTAAGGGGTCCCCTGATCCAAACCAGCTGCCCCAGCCCTCCCTACCACCCTAGCGGGGAACCTTGCCAGGTGCGGAGAATGGTGCCTGGCACACATGGAGGGCTAGCTTTGGGTTTGCCCTGGCTAAAACCACCCAGATCTGGCATCCTAGTGACCCGGGGTGCCCAATGACAAGCCCTGAGGAGGGACAGAGGGAGCATGCCTAGAGAAGTGCAGGGCGGGTTGGGGAGCGGGGAGGACCATGGCCTCATACTCACTTGGACTTTTGGGCCTGGGTCGCTCTCCGGTTCCTTTTCTTCTACCACCACCGGCAGGGACCCCCTCTTCCTCCTGGCCCCAGACTTCTGCCCAGCGCCGGTGTGCTTGGGCTGTTTGGTTCCCAAAGAGACCAAGGAATACCCCTTGCCCCTCCCAAGCACCGGACCACCAGCGACTGGGGGGAAGGTGGCTGGCTCCAGGGCAGCGGCTGAGAATCCCTGCCCCCAGGGAGGGAAGGTACCCTGGGGGGCAACTTTGGAGGCCCCCCCTAGGAATTTCTTCTCCTGGGCCACTTTCCTTCCAGGAGTGGCCTTGGGCCGGCTGCCTGCAGCAGCGGCTCCCGGCAGGTAGCTGGGCCTGCTCCCCGCCTTCCTGCAGACCACACTTTGGGGTTTCCTACGGGACACTTCCAGCTCTCCAACAGCCCGCCTCCTCGCCCCAACTGAAGCCAGTCGTGGGGGAGCGGAGGGCAGGAAAGAGCCTGGCACGCAAAGGAACTTCTCCCTGGCACGGACACTCGAGTGTCTGGGTGTGTCTTGCAGGCTCCTGGGTTTGGCCTGGCCCCCTCCTTTGCCATAGAGGCTGGAACTCAGCAGGTGCAGCTCACTGAAGTCATCTGATGACTCGGAGTGGGAAGGCCAGCCCACCAGGCCTTCTTCCGAGGACCACTGGGGACCCACGGTGTCCTTTGACCTATTCTTAGCTGCTCTTTTGCAGTTTCCCCAGGCCCGGCCTCCCCCAGGCCCCATGAGGGGCAGCCGGGCCGTGGAAGGCCGCCGAGATCCCACCAGACCATAGGCCTGCGCGCTTCTACCCTCGGGACCTGCCTGCAAGTCCACCGAAAGGGCGGACGCCTCAGAGTCGCAGCAGCTCTCTGGGGAGGGGTTTCTGCGGACAGCCAGGTGATCCCGGTCGGTCAGCTGCTGCAGGGTGGCTATCGCGGCCTCATCGGCAAGGTAGTCCAGAGTGCCCCCGTCGAAGTCGGCCGGGGAGCCAGGTCGGCCTTCGCAACCCCAAAGCACCCCTTCCATCACTTCCCGCTCCTCGTCCTCGAAGCCTTCGAGGTCTGAGAACGCGCCCTCGTCCTGGCTGCTCGGCAGGGGCGTCCCCAAAGTACGGCCCAGTCCACCGGCCTGCTCCCCGCCCTCTGGGTGGGACCCCACTCCCCAAACAGACCCCTCGTCCTTGTTGGGGGAGCTCATGTCGCCAAGTCCCGACAGCCCAGGTACAGGGTAAACGGTCGCCCTGAGCACCGGCAGCGGCAGGAGCGCGAGGCCTGGACCTTCTGAGAGAGCGTTTGTCACCACAGGCAGCTCACGCGGCGGCCTCCAAGAGTGCGCGACTTCCAAGAGCCATCAACGCCCAGGCCTTCTCATTGGCGCGTGTCCCCCCCCCCCCCAATAAGGTGGGCCCCCTTTTTAGGGCCCCCCCCCCCCAGGGCCCGGGGCCCAATAGGGGGGGGGGCCCTTTGGTTTGGCCCCATTCGGGGGTCCACCCCCACCCCCGGAATTTGGAAACCCAATCTGGGGGGGGGGGGGGTGGTCATAGGGGGGGGCTCCCTCCCCATCCTTTCCTGCCCCGCCCCCCCCCCCCCCCCCCTGCCAGGCACCTACTGTCCAACTGGAGCCAAAGCACCTAGCCTCCGTTTCCCATTACGAAGCAGGGAGGTGATGCACCTGTCTGGGGGGTGGGTCGAGGGGTGGTGAGGGTGCAACTTCAGGATGGAGGTGAAGCACCAGCCACTCTTCTGCAACAACACTGACGACGCAACAGGGAAATGCACACCGGAGCGCGTGGTCAGCGGTGGGCCCGCATACATTTTCCATAAAGGCCCAGAGAGCAAAAGTTGTGGCATTTACGCGCGGCAGGGTCTCTGTCGCAACTCCGTTTCCGTTAGCATGGTGGTCAAATCGGCCCACGGCTGTGTGTTGCTGGGCCGGTTTGGTGGAAGGGCTGGGGTTTGCCCCCTCCCTCAGCCCCGCCCCCACTCCGAGTCAGTTCAAAGAAGAGGGAATCCCCATGGCCAGTGCACACCCCAAAAGATGCTCACCATCACTGATCCGGGGGACACGGACGCAAACCATAAACCCGTTTTCACACAGCAGGTCTGCAATAATCACAGAGCTTAACCGTCCCACGGGTGGGAGAGGTTATGAGCAAGCCCGTGCTTGGCCCACTGGGAAGTGGCCGAGGTGGGGGGCCTGGGGGGAGGGAAGCGGCGGCCCGTGCGCAGGCACAGAAGAACCGTTTGGGAAGGCAATTGCGCAGAATCCGGGAAAAGCAACTTACACAACACTTGCTGCGTGCCTGGCACTCTTCTAAGCGCTGTAGATAAATAGGAACACATCCTCCCGACCATGCTAGGATTGAAGTACTCGCCGTCACCGCCCTCTTACAGGTGAGGAAGCAGGCACTGAGAGGTTCGGCCACTGGCTCAAGGTCATTGGGCTTGTAGCGATCAGCGGCAGGATCGCAACCAAGACAGTCCCGCTCCAGAGCCCTTGCTTTGGAGCAGAAAATCTTAAAAATGAAAAAGCGCCCGTTCCCTCCATGACCAGGCATGGACCTCTGCCGAGTACACCTTCTGGAGACACGCTGGTACGTGCAGTGCATCAGGACACAGGCTCAAGGGTGGTGGGAAACACTGGCAACACTCTAAATTCCCACCAGGAAGGAGGTGGATGAATGCAGTGTAGTGTATGCACCCTACATCTTTTGACTGGGTAGATGAAAACGCCCCAGTCAAAAGAATGCACAGATTCCAAAGGCACACAGCAAGCTGCAGAGCAATGGCGTTGGATACACATTTGTAACTTTTTTTTAAACTAGTCAATCCGATATAAGGTCTGAGAGTACATATAGGTGTGCCTACAGACATGTTATGAAGGCCTGGAAGGACGCACAGCCAATGCTTACCAGTGGGCAGCCCGCCAGGGCGCCAGTTGTCTCTCAAATTTTCCCGAACCGCCGGCTTCCCAGCTTCCCAGCTTCCCTGAGCTGAGCAGCCCTGGCCCTCCCTTGGTTTCCATAAGGCCCTCGCGTGTTAGAATTTCCACTCGCTTGCCACCCAACCCCTACTCCAACAGCCCTCCTCCCTTCCTTCCACACCTTCTTCCTCTCTTTCCCATTCATACTCCCCTGTCTTTAAAAACAGGGGAGGAAGGGACAGGGAGAATGTAGGGCGCAGCTATAGGTTTAAGCCTCGGACTGACCTGTTGGCAAAGCCACAAACAAGTCCCAGCTTAGGGGGCACAGTCCCCTTAGCATAATTAGGCTTGACCTTATGTCGCTCCCTAGATCTTATCTGGGTAGCTAATGGGCTGAGGGAGAAGTAGCAAGTGCTGCCAAAACAAGTGAAACTCACAAGAACATTGTAACTATGGGGACCACTACCTTGTTGACCTCTGGCTATAAAATAAAGGCTCAGCTTGCCTCTGGATCTCTCTCTGTGGCCTCAGCCAGGCACAGGAAGATCCACCTAGACCCAGCTTATTCTGTTTGTCTGTCATTTCCTCATCCTTCACCGCCCTCACCCAGGCTTTCGAACCCTTGGCTGAGCTGGCTTGGCACAGGAGAGATGGAAACATCAATGATGAGAGAGAATCTTTGATTGGCTGCCTCCTGCACGCCTCCTACTGGGGATCGAGCCTGCAACCTGGGCATGTGCCCTAACCAGGAATCCAACCGTGAATTCCTGGTTCATAAGTTGATGCTCAACCACTGAGCCAGGCCTGGTCGGGCCATACTCTTCTGTCTTTCCAGTCGCCTCTCCCTCCTGCAGCCTTCTCTGGCTGATCTCCTAGAGAGGCCCGAGCTGTCTGAACACCTCTTGCCAGAGGGCACTCAAAGGCCCAATTTTTCTGGCTCTGATAGAGAAGGTTATGCAGCAGGGAGATTGGGTACACTCTAAATCTCTGATCCTCCTCCTCAAGTGTGCCCCGCCTCCCCTGCCCCCCAACCTCTGCCTGTGTGTGGCTGATGCCCTCTCCCACTCCTCCCAGTGACTTTTAAAGACATGGTGCGCTATTTCCGACCTGCTAAGATGGATGAGGAAGGATATAGCAAAATCTCCTGTACCCACCACGGTCCTAGGAAACATTACCTATCCATCCAGTGGAAGCCTCAGCATCCCTCTGGCCATTTCCATTTCTTCCCTCCCATCCTCCTTCCCTCTCTACCCCACAGCGAGAATCCTAGAACTTCTCCACACCTCCTCCACTCTCCTCATCCCTGGGGCTCTACTGGCACCAGTTTCCCTGCTTTTTGTAGGTCCTCACCAATCTCTGCTAACGCCCTTCCCGCAATATCCCCATTTTTGGTTTTGACCTACTATCTTGGCCTGGGGTGGGGCCAGTATCAGGGGATTCACTTAGCCTTCCCCACCACGATAGCTCTTACCCCACAGACCAATGACCCTGTGGGATTCATTGCTCCAACTGCCAAGTGTACCACTGGCAAATAACTTGGGGGCTGGAGAAACGACCACTGTGTTCATCTGTTGATCGAAAGACCAGGTCGGCTCACTGTGAACCAGATTCTATTCCCAACTTCTTTTATTACCGTGCCTCACAAGCCCCTCTCAAACAGCTCCCCCAGCCCCCCCCCCCCCCCGTGCCCATCGTGACACTTTGGGCTTCCAGGATCAATGTCAGCTTAGACTCTGTGTCCAGTAGTCCTAGATATGTCTGGGTATTTGTCCAGCCCCAGTGTACAGTCACCTGAGCAGCTGGGAAAGCTTCTATGAACATATGCAAACAGGTTTTCTGTCCACATTAGTTTTCATTTCTCTTGGGCAATTATCTAGGACTCGGCTTGTTGGATGGAGCAAATGGTAAGTATATTTTTAACTTTATAAGTGACGTACAAAATGTTTTTCAGTTTGTCTATATCATTTTGTATTCTCCCCAAGAATGCACGATAGTTCTGGTGGTTCCTCATTCTTTCTAGCACTAGCATTCTCTGTGTTTTATTTTAAATTTTAGCTATGCTTATAGTCATGTGGTGGCATTTCACTGTGGCTTTAATTGGTGTTTCCCTAAAGATGAATGAGGTTGAACATCTTCTCAATAGCTTCCTGGTCTTCCATTGTCTTCTTTAGCACAGTGTCTGTTCCATTTTCTTGCTCATTACTTATTGAGTTGCTTAATTTTGTATTGTTGAACATTGAATGTTCATTTTCTGTTTCAGATATAAGTCCTTCATAATATGTGTGTTGCCCTGGCCCATGTGGCTCAGTTGCTTAGAGCATTATCCTGGGCACCAAAGGCTCTTGGTTCAATTTCTGGTCAGGCTACATGCCCAGGTTTCAGGTTTTTTTGTTTGTTTTTTTAGGTTTGTATTTTTTAATCAGAACTCTGACTCCTTCCTTTCTCATCCATGGTTGGGCACAGGGTTACAGCTGCAGCAGAATGCTGTTTGTTGATTTGAGAAAACTGAAAATGTTTTGTACTTACAAAGGTGGATGGAATTCAAAAACCGATCCCCACCGATTTTTATGAGAAACATGACTATTCCTCTTGAGCGTCTCAAGTCAAAGCAAGGCAACCGCCTAGTGATTTATCGTCCCCACTACGCATGCCGCCTCCCAGAAGGCATTAGAGAAAGGGCCAACGTCCGCGATTGTAAACATACCACTGACAGCTTGGACACTTTGTTTTTAAATGCAGCAGGACTTTTTCCTTTGGCCCTGATGGAAAAGCCAACTCCCTAGGGCTGTTTAGGCAGGAGCAGACAGGAGGGCTCCCCCAAAACCTATGAGTGAGGGCCCAGTGGTCCCCATTGGCTGGAGTGTGGCTGGAGCATCATCAAAGGCAATCGATACATTTATGGCATATGAAAATTGTCCTGTGGTCCCCAACTGGCCCGCAGGCTCAACCTGGCTGGATGTGGGGCATGGGAGGTACAAAACAAGGCACATGGTTGAGGCGGTCCCCACACCAGGCCCAGAAAGATGATCTCTTCGCACGATTCCAAAAGTGTTGGAAAGTGGAGGAGTTGATGACACTCACTCACTATGAGCAGCAGCAGCAGGTACAGGAATATCATGACCGTAAACCAATGGCTGGAAAACCAGGACAGCTGGCTTGAAGCCCTCTTGGCCTGCTTCTGTGAGTACACCAGCAGGTACTTCACTCGCAGGAGCTGGTTGTTGGTGACCACAAAGTACTTTGGAGGGATGTCTCCCCCTTCACTGTGCTTGATTCTCGCTCTCCTGCGATCTATCTCCTTGGAATCTTTCTTCTTGGTTTGGCACTTGACATCTGGATGGTCTATGACCTCACACACAGCCACGTGGCTGAGGATGGGGCCAAGGAGGCTACGCTGCCACCCATAGCCATGGGGGCTATAAATGAGGGCCAGGCTCAACTCACTGGTGAGGTAGGTCCCTTCCCCGAACAAGGATGTCTTGTTCAGGTGGCAGTGCAGGCCATTGTGGATGATGGAATGGAAGTTTTCTAGGCGGCTCCCATGGAAGGCGTAGATTAGGTCTCGTTCTCCTTTGGTCTCATAAAATTTGGCATTCACTGGGTCCGAGTACTCAATTTCAAATAGGAAGTCCGGCACAGGGACAGGAGTGTGAGGGGCACCAGTTAGCTTTTGGATCTTTTCAAACTCTGACTTCCCTGCACTGTGGACTGTCAGGACCTTTGAGGATAAAATCCAGCTCAGCAGGTCCCAGGCCCCTTTGTCTTTATCTTCAGAGGACTGGAGAAGCTCTTTCAGGTTGGGTAACTTGCTGGCATCTGCAAGCTGAAGTCCCAGGTTTCAGTTTTGATCCCAGTTCTGCGTTTTGTGTGAGGCAGCCCATCAATGTTTCTCTCTCACATTAATGTTTTTGTCCTCTCTCTCCCCCTCTCCCTTCTTTTCTCCCTAAAAATGAATAAAATAAAACAAAGTTATAGTAAGTGTGTTTTTCAAATATTGTTTCCCAGTTTGTGGCTTTTGTTTCCATTTTCTTTTCTTTTTTAAATATATCTTTTTAAAACTTTTATTTAATTTTTCTTTTTTGTTATTTTGTTTTCCTATTACAGTGTGCATTCAACATTATTTCATATTAGTTCCAGTTGTACAGCACAGAGGATTTAAAAAAAAACACCTTTTAAGATATAGTTCACATACCACGTAATTTACTCATTTATAACATCTGAATCAGAGGGTGATATCAGCAAGATGGTGCAATAAGAAGCCTCACATCTTCCTTCCCCCATGGCGACACTGACTCAAGAATGGCATATGCCCAATTCCCTTTGTGAGAAACCTAGAAACCAGTTAAGAAGCTTGTGCACCCCAGGGGAGCGACAAACCAACTACATTGAAGTGGGTGGGAAAATTCATGGCTATCACTTACCAGAGTCTCTCCCCCGACAGTGCAATGAGCAGGAGGAAAACTCCTAGCTCAGTGGCTTCTCCCTCAGTAGAGAAAGAGAAAACTGTTTCAATACATCCAATGTTCCAATTTTCCAGAGACACTTCTTAAGAGGCTGGTTTCTTCCTTGCCAGCATCTAAGCACCACAGATCAGGGGCTGCTTTGAACAAAAGTAATGTTTCAGATTAGTACACATTATCCCTCCTCCCAGCACAGTGTGGCAATTGGGAGAAAACTCCCAGATCCTCAGCTTCTCCCTGGGGAGGGAAAGAGAGGAAAGAAACATACATCCTACATTCAGCCTTTTCGAGAGGCTGCCCAAAGGACTTGTTTCTGTCTTGCCCAAATCTAAGCACTGACAGGAAATGGTGCTAGGTTGGGGGCTTTGGAGAACAACGGCGACAGTTTGGACTGCTACACACTCCCCTGAGGAACTGAGCAGGAGAAAAACCCACCTCCCAGTTTCTTCCTGGGGAGCATGCATCCCATTTTGGGATTTCCTGGGGAACTACCTGAGCAAGTAGTTTCTGCCTCATCTGTCTCTGAACATTGTCTATTTGCCTAAAGGCCACTGAGAATAAAAGAGTTGGTTGGTTAGTATTCCACTGTATATATGTAGCACATTCTTTTTTTTTATCCATTCATCCATTGATAGACTTTGGTTTTCTTCCATTTCTTGGTTATTGTAAATAAGGCTGCAATTAACATAGGGGTACATCCATCTTTTTGAATTAGTGTTCTCCTTTTCTTCAGATAAATATCCAGAAGTGGAATTGCTGGGTTGTATGGTGTTTCTGTTTTTAATTTTCACATAATAAGGTATATAAATGTTGAATCACTTATTTTGTACTGTAATGGGGTGACCCGCGGAGACGACCACCAGGCACTCAGATCAAAATTTAGGAGCCTTTATTAAGCTGGCCAGCGACTACAGTTACAGCACCCTGCTGAAGCAGAGGCTGAACTGCAGTGCCGACTTCCATGGCCAGCGACTACAGTTACAGCACCCTGCCGAAGCAGAGGCTGAATTGCAGTGCCAACTACAGGAGTTACATTTTATTATTAAATTCTGTGGAGGCCCAGAAAAAAATGTGTCTTTCAAATTCTGGGCCCCCAATATGGAGGAAACTTTCTTTATTTATATTTTTTCCAGTCCTTTGTCTCCCAAATTTGGAATGAGACTTCCGGGCCTTCTGAGAAAGAAAGCCTGCGTGTTGGGAAGGGGCCGTGAGACCATATCTCAAGGCCTGGCCTGATGTCAGTACCTTCCTATCTATATGTTCTAGGACAGCGTGCCCCGCCTGGCCGAAGCGTCAGATATGCAGCCCAACACAGTACCCCTGAAACTAATATACTATATTATATGCCAACCAACTATACTTTAATAAAAAAATTTTAAGCAACAGCAACATCAAAAATAGTTGGTCAGCTTGTTTTTGCTCAAGAGGAAGTGAAGTTCAGTAGACAGACATCAGACAGGTCTGCGTATTTGTCTTTTCCTCACTGTACAGTCACCTGAGAAATGGCAGTCAGTCTCTAGGAAGTTGAGCAGTTTGGGGAATGAGGTGATGGTTTTTAGATGTGTTAAGGTTGAGGATCTTATAGGACATGCTAATGGAATTATCCAGATTGTACTTCAAAATTTTGATTCTGGAGCTCCAGTGAGTAGTCAGAGTTAGAAATACATACTTAGGAGTCCTTCATTCCCTCATCAAATATTTTAGGAATGTTTGTTCACACACTATTACCTAGCAAGTCTGCTGTAGTCCTCTTGATCCCATTCTCTTTGCCCCCCTCAGAGGTAATCTTTATTCTGAATTTGTCATCATAAAATAAATGAAACCAAAAGTTGATTTTTGAAAAGATAATAAAAAATCACAAATCTTAGGCAGACTGACCAGGAAGAAAAAGAGATTCCTCAGCCCTAACCGGTTTGGCTCAGTGGAAAGAGCGTCGGCCTGCAGACTCAAAGGTCCCAGGTTCAATTCCGGTCAAGGGCATGTACCTTGGTTGCGGGCACATCCCCAGTTAGGGGTGTGCAGGAGGCAGTTGATCGATGTTTCTCTCTCATCGATGTTTCTAACTCTCTATCCCTCTCCCTTCCTCTCTGTAAAAAAAAAAAAAATCAATAAAATATACTTTAAAAAAAAGAGATTCCTCAGAAATCACCGGAATCAGGACTAAAAAAAGAAACAGCACCACTGACTCTATGTAAGTTGAAAAAATTAGAAGAAAATAGTGTGACAACTTTATGAGAACAAATTATACACAAAGATGCAATGAGAACATTTGAGGGAAGACACAAACTCCAAATCAGACTTGTTAACTTGAAAACAAAAGCTAAGGGGAGAGGCAACAAGCGTTTATTTGAGATCAAAGAATACTAGTAGATTCAGGAAGCACTGATTCAGGCAGAAACCCAAATAATATTCTGATTATGGGGTGAAGGCAAGGGGTTTTTATGAGAAAAGGAAGAGGAATCATTACATGAATAGAAGGAAGAAATTTCTATTAGTGCTAATAAGCTAAGTTATTCATTAGCTATACATGGTGGTGCGAACTCTAAAGAATGTCCTTAATTTTCAGTCCTTTCATCTTGCTTTCCTGTTAGTTTTACAAACAGTTGTTTGGAATACAATGTTGCTTTGGCCCAGTCCAAAGGTTATTTTGTCCACTTCAAACATTCCAAAGGTTTGAGGAGTAAGAGGTATGTGCAAGGCAATTCCTCTGAGATGGAGGCTTGGACTCCATTTTGAAATGACTCTGTTTCTATCATTTTTCATAGAATCAGTAAAAGATTTAAAAAATCAACTAAATTAATAACTAAAAATATTCCCACAATGAATAGGTCCTATACAGGTGGCATTACTGCTTAATTCTATCAAACATTTCAGGCAGAAATAATAACAACACTCCTCAGAACTCTTCCAGATAATAGATGAGGAATGGACACTTTCAAATTAGCTATGTTAGCGGACAGCTCTGAATCGGAGAGGGGCTGTCCCCTCCTCGGCTCCTGTCAATCTCATAAGAAAGGTTTCAGAGGAATGACAGACAGCAACATTGTAGCAAAGCAAGCAAATTTATTAAGAATACACGACATAAAGCACAAGTGGGAAGCCCAGCTAATCTGAGCACCTCACCTGGTGGCAGTTTTCTGTCTATAGGTTTCAAGGTTCTTCTGCCAGATATCTTGGACAACAGACTAGGTTTCAAAGTCCCCCTTTTACTTTGTTGTGGCTTTTCCCAGAATTTATGAGAACATCTGGAGATTTTATCTAGGCAAGTACCAAGACTACTGACTTCTTTGTTCAGTGAGTGAGATAAACTCCACCCCCCACACACCTTCCCAAAGACAGCTGACTTCTTTGTTTAGTAAGATAAAACTCTCCCCTTCTTAAACCCTTCTCCTCTTGCTTCCTTAGCATCCCCCAAGTGATATTTGTCCTTGGGTTTAGCTTGGGTCTTTGTTCTCTATTTTCCCAGGCCAGGGTGATTTAAGCCATGTATTCTATGGTTAAGGAGGAGAGCCATTAACCATTTGCATCCAAGTCTCCTTGGTTGGGGAAGATAAGGTCACGATTCACAAACTGCCCAAACTGTTTGGCCTTGTTTAATTCTCTTGTCTCAGTTTACCCTTCCACTTGCCCAGGAATTTTCATAGCTTCTTATTATCCTGCCACAGGTCTATTAGGCCAATATTACTGTAGTGCAAACCCCTGACAGTTGGGTTTTTTATTGTAATGCAAGTGCCTGATATTAAGCTTTAAATTGCTGAGACATCCTCTTCAAAGAGTAAATGCCTTGCCAGCTACAGGACTGAATAAAGAGCTATGCTGCTGCACCCCTGAAGTTTCCTTTGTTTTAGAGATCTCTGACCACTCTTTTTTCCCTTTCCTGCACTTTAATTCCTGTTCCTATGTTTTGAATTCGCTAAATAAGAGTAAACTCGTGAAACCCTAGGCCCCTCACCCTCGACCCCAATAAAAGCAGAGCCCAAGTTCAAGCACTCTTTATCTGCAACCTTGCCAAGTGGCCCTGTACCCTTCAGGACTTGTAAGTAATAAACCTTGTTCTTTCAAAGTTTCCTGATGTTTACTGCTGAGGTTTCTCTCTCAGTCATGCTAAGAACCACAAATGCTGATCCAGCCACAACATTGGTTCAGAAAGGGGGCTCACCTTGGGTCCAGGGTCCTAATAACTTCAGGCATTTCTAGCCAATAGTATCATTAATAATCTGAGACCAGCACAAAACAATTACTCTGATGCCAAAGACACTCAAAAACATCCAAAATTAAGAAAAGTGCAGATCATTTTTTTACTAAATATAGATGAAATAAACCTCAACAAAATATTAGCACACTGAATTCAGAAGCATATAAA